AAGACTGCTATCACTGTTCATATGCGAACTCATACTGGAGAGAAACCTTATGTATGTGCTGAATATGAAAAAGTTTGTATCCAGAAGAAGGAACTTGCTGATCGCCAGCGAATTCATACTGGGAAGAAACCCCATGTACATGGTGAATGTGGAAAAGCCTTTATGAAAAGAGTGCTCTGAGTGGTCATCAGCGAACTCATACTGGAGAGAACCCCCATGCATGTGGTGAATGTGGAAAAGCCTTTATCAGGAAGACTGCTCTCGCTGATCATCTGAGAACTCATACTGGAGAGAAACCCTATGTATATGGTGAATGTGGAAAAACATTTCTCAGGAAGAAAGACCTCGCTGATCATCAGCGAACTAATACTGGGGAGAAACCTCATGTATGTTGTTAATGTGGAAAAGCCTTTAACAAGAAGATTACTATCATTGTTCATCAGCGAACTCATACTGGAGAGAAAGCCCATGTACATGGGGAATGTGGAAAAGCCTTTATGAAGAAGAGGGCTCTCACTGGTCATCAGAGAACTCATACTGGGGAGAAACCTCTTGTATGTGGTGAGTGTGGAAAAGCCTTTATCAAGAAGACTGCTCTCACTGTTCATCAACGAACTCATTCTGGAGAGAAATCCCATGTATGTGGTGAGTGTGGTAAAGCTTTAACCCAGAAGCAATGCCTTATAGTTTATCAGAAATTTTACACCAGAGATAAGCCCCATGTATATGGTGATTGTGGTAAATCCTCTATCTGGATGTATGAGCTCACTGTTCATATGCGAACTCCTATTGGAGAGAAACCTAATGTATGTGGTGAATGTGGAAAAGCCTTTATCAAGAAGGATCTCGCTGATGATCAGCGAACTCATACTGGGAAGAAACCCCATGTACATGGTGAATGTGGAAAAGCCTTTATGAAAAGAGTGCTCTGAGTGGTCATCAGCGAACTCATACTGGGGAGAAACCTCATGTATGTGGTCAATGCGGAAAAGCCTTTATCAAGAAGAAGAAACTCGGTGATCATCAGCAAACTCATACTGGCGAGAAACCACATGTATGTGGTGAATGTGGAAAAGCCTTTATCAAGAAGACTGCTCTCACTGATCATCAGCGATCTCATACTGGAGAGAAACCCTATGTATATGGTGAATGTGGAAAAGCCTTAATCAGGAACACTGCTCTCACTGATCATCAGCGATCTCATACTGGAGAGAAACCATAAGTATATGGTGAATGTGGGAAAACTCTTATCAGGGAGAAGAACCTCACTGATCATCAGCGAAGTCATAATGGAGAGAAACACCATGTATGTGGTGAGTGTGGTAAAGTTTTCACCAGGAAGCAATGCCTTCTAGTTCATCAGAGATTTTACACCGGATATAAACCCCATGTATGTGGTGAACGTGGAAAATCCTTTATCTGGAATATGAGCTCATTGTTCACATGCGAACTCATACTGGAGAGAAACC